TTGTATGTAAAAAGCAGTGATTTCGGATTAGGATCCTTTATTTCCGAGATCCAAGGAACGAACTCGAAACTCGATCAACAATGATGAATTTCCCATTGGCGACACAGTACTAACTCCCTTCGTTGTTGGGGTTGGGGGTGTGATGGGGATCCCTGTCCATAGGTGGCACTGATTGGAGTCGAGGGCGTCGAGTGACACGTCTGCTTGTTTACCTTCTCTCTCTCGCTCCTCTCTCTTACCTATAGTATCCCATTTATCTACCAGTTAACTCAACATTGCAGAGCAATATAATTTTTTATCTTATCCTTATATCTTATACTTACTATTATATAAAGCGGAAGAGTTTGTTTTATTGTTTGTTCATTGAACGTGCTAATCTCCGTAACTACAAGTCTGATTGAAATAATTCTTTTTGTGTTGGATAGCGCATTTATCGAGGATGGCTATAGACTGTAAATCATCACGCTACGACCAATAGGAGCTGAGCAGAGCGTGTGAAACCGCGCGGAAGTAGCTAGTAGGAAATAAAGCATCCAGGTAAAATCTTTACTCTCATGTACCTACCTATCTAATCTAAGCGAGAACTCGACGCTCTCGACAGGGATCCATTATCATACGACACGAGAACGCATGTTCCATGAATAAAGTTTTGTAAAAAACAAATTAAATCGTGTTCCCAGAAAATACGTAAATAGAGAAATATACAAAATATATCTAACATCAATTTTTAGGGCTCTTTCAATTTGGTCGTTTTATCGGTTTCATGTCGTGCGGCTACCGGACGTTTACCGTGCCGTTGATTAGAAATTAGGATGCAGAGCCTCGGCAGGGGCTAAACACGGTAAACGTGCGGCAGTCGGACGACACAAAACGTCTGAATTGAAAAAGCTATTAGGCTACATCAAAGAAGCCATATAAATTACTGGTTTGTAGCAGAGTAGAGTAGATAGACGAAAATCATTCTTTCGAACAAAACAATATGTAATTATTTTTTAACAAAATATGTGTCGTAATAAATTAGTATCTACGCTTAATATCCACGTGAATCTGTTTGACTATGAAAACAAACAAAAACCCTGTTTACGAAAAATTTTCCCCTACTATTTGCACTCGAGTTCTCTTTTACGACATTCTGATTGTTTACAGAGTTACTACGTTTTGATTGAATTGAATGATTAGATTATTAAATGTCAACATTAAGCGCTTAAATTACTTTTTTTAAGTTTTAGTTTATGTAATTCGTTGTGTCATTGCAGCTGTTTTTTTTTTGTGGAATAATGGAACACTGACCAATCGAGTTTTCTTTTTACTTTTTTTTCCAGAAGATAAAGACGCAATAGGTAATTGTCTTTGGGAACTTATGACGACAAACGCATTTAAAATGATGCAACGTACCAACTTGGACTAAGTAAGTATTATCGTTATATTATAGATATCGAGGAAAAAATATAACGATAGTTAGGGACGGGAAAAGTGTGTCTTTATTGTAGGTATTTTTCCGTCTGTACAAAATTGAAATTCCTACCACCCACTTACTTATTTAGCTACCTACTCACTATATCGATTTTTTGGATATTTATAATATTCATTGTTTTGAAATCAAAAGACTATTGCTGATTCAAAGTGCAAATTAATTAAAATAACGAGATTTCATACTTTTCATAACATAATACCGTAACCAAACAGACGTTCTACCCGTTCGGCAGTTTCAAACAAAATGCTATGAATGTTCGAAAATGTTTTATCTCGCTTACGCAATGTCCTCGCTGTGAATCCCGTAGAATGCGCGATAAGGATAGCACGATAGTCTATTTGTGTCACACTTGTACTGTCCGTTTCCAAGCCGATCGACGCAGCGCCGCGGGACGGTAACTAATCATTGAACAAAGTCGTGGCCGCGCTTGCCGCTTTCGCCATTTTGTTCTGAAACGTCAACGTGTTCACAAGTGTGGAGAAAAATGTAAACTGTGAAAGTAAATTATTTTGGTCTATGTGATACTTTATAGTGATAACATACGGTGAATGTGATATAAAAATAGTGTACGGAGTATCTGTTCTCAATGGGTAAATAAAAATTTCAATATTCTTCGATCTAATTTCCATGAAATTGTTCATTGAATTCATTCTTGTCGTTGCATTGGAACTGCGCGGACGTGCTTGTTGTAATATAGAAGTATTTTTGTCAGTTTTTCTGTCATGTATTATTTTTTATGATTGATTTGTCGTGAAAATATTGCAATTACAATCATTTAAAATATTTCAATTAAATTAAAAAAATTGTTTGTTTATGTTGAGGAATATTAAGTGTTACTATAACGAAAGTGGAAATTTAATTTTTATTTCATTGGAAGAATTATTTGAATATTAAAGAATTATCCAATTTACTGACGTAAAGTAAATGACTATTACATTATTTTCGTGAGTATACATAAATTATTGTCAAAAATAAGACAAGGAAAAAGGCAACTTTTAATGAATTAAAGATTATTTTCGCTCGATAAGTTGTCACGGCATGTTTGAAATCGTGATAACAATAATAATATTTATTTGGAGGATATTTCTTCCTAGTCTATCTCTATGGTCTATTTTAGGCCTTATATTCATTTGAAACAAGCTGCTCGCGCTTGCATGACGTGTGTTAGGGAGCGGTGTGGCGGCCTGCCGGCGGGCGGTCGGTAGAGTGGGACTGTGGGCCCGAATTTATGCATGCACTATAATTGCATTATAAATGTTTAAGATTGCATTGATGTCATCAATAACTTATCTTCTTATTTTTATATACATTCGATTTAACTTTGTAATTGCTACACAGTTATTTATAATTTTATTTCTCTGGTCTGAAATGGGTCTCTTTATGTTTATTTTTAATTGGGTTTTGGGGTTAATATTAAAAATTAGGTAAATACAATTTATAATTAAAATAGGATATTAAGAGTTATCATTCAATATTTAATTTGATTTAGGATATTAAAAATCAGATAGTAAATTATTAAGTACCTACTGTTTTTCTTAGGTACTTACATGTTTTGTAGTGTCCTTGGTTTATTCAAAGTTATTAGATTTTTAATTGTCTGTTCAATTATCGCTCTATATTTTAATTTTATCATAAGTAGTCATAGTATTTTATTTTTTACTAAAAAGCCTAGAACAAGTTCCCGAAAAAAATCATGAAAATCCATTAACGCGACTGAAGACGCTTACGGCGATATTTTATCTTTTTAAAATTATATTATACTAGCGACCCGCCCCGGCTTCGCACGGGTGCAATATGCATGTATTATACATACAAACCTTCCTTAAGAATCACTCTATCTATTAAAAAAAACCGCATCAAAATCCGTTGCGTAGTTTTAAAGATCTAAGCATACATACGGACATACAGCGAAAGCGACTTTGTTTTATACTATGTATTGATTAGCAAGAACTTTATCTGAATATAATTTCTTCCTTTTTATTTGGGTATGTAAACCTTCGGGCAACGTTGTGTTATGTTTTTATTTTAGCAGCCCGTCTACCTGTAGGTAATCGGTGTTTCTGGGTGGCAACTGTACCAAGCACGCGTCTTTATTTTCACAATCGAGTATAGTAGAGTCACAACTACCCTTTATTTTATTATTTAGCCCATTTTTTGTATTGATTTGACAGAAAAATGAAGATTTTAAATTAAAATAAGTGTTATTTAAGTTTATTCGCGACTCAACCCGACATCACACGAGTGCCTTTGTCAATTTCTTTTTTTTTATATCCTATTTGATGCAGTCGTTCAGTAGAAATGCGCGCACAGCTACATTTCTGCGTTTTCATTTATGTAACACTAGTAGTTACTATATAAAAACTCTGTTGATATTATCTATTAAAATTGTCGTAATTTACACCATATAGAGAAAAAAATATGATCGAAAATTATTTACACTGCAAATAATAACGCTACGAATTCTCTTTTCATTTCCCAATCACCAATTATTTGGCAATAATTTACAAAATATTGAATTGAATTGAACAAATTAAAAATTGAAAAATTCCCATTTTCCCCTATGTAGAGATGGGAATTTTATTCAATACTTCTTAACTTCAGATTGCGCGCCGGTGCCAATGTGGTTCCAGAATGCCTGGCACCGATAAACCGCACCGCAATGAGTGATCTTGTGTAGAATTCAGTAAGCCAAGCACTAATTTTTGACAGTCATTTCCTCTCAGGCGATTTAATTCGTAAATGGTTCGAAGAGTTGTATTAGGAAGCTTTGCGAATGTCAACTGCGGCACCGGTGGTGGGGTGAGTAGTGGCAGCCGCTCAAACATATAACAAAATATTTTTTTAGTCATAACACATACTGTTGATAAAAAAAACTCGTCTAATTCATAGTTAGAGGCAGAGCATAATATTTTGCAGGAAAGGAAATCGTCAGCTCGTTAAAAAGTGATGAACAATATGACAGCTGGACGCAAAAAACTGGAAAATACTGTACTTTACTAAACACCACATTACTTACTAAATACTGCAATAATTTTCAATCAAATTTTCAATAAAAATTAAGTTATTGAGATGACGATTAACGGGTGTGTTTTTTATTAGATTTTTTCTATTAAATTATTTCTACTATGTTTTTTTAATAACTCACGTAATAAGTAGTCGAGAATAATTCAAATTCAGGTGAAATACAATACAATTACACAAAGAATGACTCGTTTTATGGATCAGCAGGTTAGGAAATTCCTAAAAGGTTTCTGGCAATCTGGTTCCTAAAATTTGATGGCAACCTACACCTTGCATGACATTAGGACCATATTACTGAGTCTAACAAGCATACTAATACTACGGACAGCACAGTCGTTACAGCAAAAGGCGTTTACAATATATATTGAAATCTGTCCCAGATCTAGAAATAAAATAAATCAATCTTTTAAAAAATTCACCATGGAAGTTAGATAGTACCCGAGTGGTGCCAGAACGCGCCACTAGTTTTGTTTTGAATAAAAATACGATTGTTTTTACTGTTTTAATTTATTATTTTTTGTTGACGTCAGAACTGTGTGAACGGAAAGGAAGAACGGAACGTAATAGAACCGACCAATGAATGAAGGCACGTTGACATTTGACATTGCATGACCAAGTTGTGAACTGTCAAAGTCGAAGTAAAGTTTTAGTTTGAAGAGTGAACATGTGTTTACTTTTATTTATTTGCTTCGAATAATACTGGAAATAAGACATTACTTATATAAACATTTTAAAATCGCATTAAAAGTATGCATTATTTTATCAAACCAGCGAAACTGTTCAATTGGTTTCAGTTTTCGTTAGCAGTTTTAATCGGAAGAAATGTACCTCTTTCTGAAAGTTAAGTAATTTAAAAATATTATATTCATCATCCCGTGGTTTTGTAAGCAAATTTTCAGTAAGTAATGTATATTTTCAAGGTGTAATTTATTAAAATATCATAATTTTTTAACTGGGATGTTGCAACGAAGTTTTGATGATGTGGTAACCAAGCTCCAAAAGTTAGAATTCATTCAGCTTTGTATAGACATTTAAACAGTAATTTCGCAATAAGATTATTGTTTTTCAATTATTATATTAAAAAGGTAGGTATCTATTACTAATACTTATCTATTATTACTACTAGTTAAATGTGTCTATTTTAAATTTGGATTAAGTTTGACAGTTGAATTAGTACCTACAAAGATAAGATGTGAAAAAATTTAGGTATGTAAAATAGTTTCACTCCCTGACTGATGTCCTACTATCATACTTCCTACTATCCTAATTTTATATTCTTATACTATTATTTATAGCAGAAGAGTTTGTTTTTTGTTTGAACACGCTATGACCAATAGGAGCCTGAGCATAGTGTGTGAAACCACGTGGAAGTAGCTAGTAATATTATAAATTCGAAAGATTCTATATGATATGTTTATTTGTTACTCCTTCACATCAAAACAGCTGAAGGAATCTGAACGACATTTGGAACAGGACTCAGGAGTAGAATTTTGTCTGGAATAACACAGGCTATATTTTATGCCATGATATTGTGGTGTAGCCACTGGCTGAAGCTGTACTGTGTCACGTTAAAATCAAAAAACGTCACATCACTTTCGATCTATGTGTTGGTAAACTATGGATTTAATGGAATTTGGTGGCTAGACTTACCTTATAATTTATACTAGCTACTTTTGCGCGGTTGTTCCCGTTCTACTCAGCGCCTATTGATCATAGAGTGAAGCTTTATAGCCCATAGCCTTCCTCGAATAAATAACTCACACTAGAAGTTCCTGGGATTTCCACATTCAAACAAACATACTCTTTAGCTTTACAATAGTTATAAGATTTTTTTATGATAATTTAAGTTGTATATATCTTAGAATTTATTTATATTTTAGTTTATTTAGGTATAAGGTATTATTTTAATTTAGTATATATTTTTTTTTGAGCTGGTTAATGTAAAATAATATTAGTTTAGTTATATAATTAAAATATTCAAAAGGGAAGTACACGGACGTGCAGCGGCTGGACAACCAGCTACCGTGCAGAGCGTTGCGGTATAGATAAATATACAGTACTCAACTCTCCCATACAGTTTCTATACCATGAGTTTGTATAAATGTATGTATCCCACTACCACTGAGTTAACAAAGTCATTTGTAGGTAAACTTGAAAATATATGCAAATGGAAATTACACAAATATGAGGATAAACAGAAATATAAGCTTATACTTATACAAATCAAAGGAAAAGTAGGTAGTTGTTAAATTGAAATCATTGACTACATTATTAAATTACTTAACTAGCTTCTACCCACAAATTAATTAGGTACTGCCAAAATTAGAGTCTAGAGTACGGGATACTAGACTAGACTGCCTATTGCGGTGCAGTTCATCAGCGCCAGGCATTCGAGAAGGACTGGCACCACCATGCAATCAGAAGTTAGGAAGGTTCTGAATTCCTATCTTCTCCCACAGGGGAAAGTGGGAATTGTCGTGATACATTTACTTTGTCTTGTTTATTCAATTCAATATTTTATAAATTATTGCCAAATATAATTGGTGATTGGGAAATGAAGAGGGAGTTGTAGCATTACTATTGTAAGTGCAAGTGTAAATAATTATTCTCTATCCCGTTGCAAATCATGCCCTAAATTCGTTCATACAAAAGTAGTCTCTAAATATTGGAAATAATGTCTATAATGTAGTTAATAGAGAGCGGTCACCGGTGACCGCTTGGGGATATATGGGCTATGGCTTCACCTTCGTTCCTGTGGGATTAAAAGAAGCATTGTATGTTATTTCAGACCATAATCTATCCCTGTTCCTGTTCCGTTTTGACGTGATTGAGTAATAAACATATCACACAAACAAACACACAAACTTTTGCATTTATAATAGTAAGAAGTAAGATTTTAAATATTTATAAATCATAGTACTAGTTCTTTGTTGTTACCAATTGTTTTCCACTAACTGTAAATCTCATCAGTGTAGATATTTCAGCAAACCTTCTTATGTGGATGGGACCAGTAGTTAGCACTGTAGTTTACTAAACTAGAGATAAATATTTAAAAAAAAGTTAATAAGTGCCTATGGACTCTCAAATATAAAGGAGGTATGAGTGCATTGGTAGCCTATTAGGGATTGAGGATCTGGAGACAGGGAGAGAATTGGGTCACTGGTGACCCCAGTCACACAGCTTAAAGAACAAAAGCGTTGTTTAATACTATTTTTTTTTTTTAAACGTTGCCCCACACTAGGATTTTCTCCTGTGTCGTGGGTGCGTTTACAAACATACAATATCACATACACATGACACCCAGACCCGAAAGAACAATTTGTGGATCACACAAAGTGTTGTCCCGTGCGGGAATCGAAACCGCGACACGTTGCACGGCAGCCGGTTGCCCAGCCACCGCACCAACCGTGCAGTCTATTTCCCTAAAAGGTTGTGGTACTGCTCCGGTCGAGCTGGCCAATTCATACCAATATATAAACATATTAGATTAGAATTTGCAATATCTATTTTATTTACAGATGATCACAAGCTCAAACGAAAAAAGGCTGTGCCTGAATTGGATCGGTTCAAACGACGTTTGATCCTTACTATAGGTCATCTGTTGGTGCGTGACAAGAAACCTGAACAAGAAGTATGGGAAATTTTGAAGAGAGACACTGGCTGCAACTGCAAGCTGCTATGGTGTGTAAACATATTCTATAATGTGCTTTTCTAATAACATGTCGGCCTGTTTTGATGGAATTTAATATTCCATCAAAACGGATTATTTAAACTGTCAAACACCGCGAGGACACCGGTGACCGCAACCTATTGTTCTTTAATTGTGTCTATAATGACGGTACTCGACGAGTTAAATTAACGGATTACTCAAGTGAATGAAGTGTTTGAGAAAAGCGGTGCATGCGGTGATGCATGCTACTCATGAATATGACTCCCGTTGTGACTTGAAACTAATAGAGCTTTTAGGTCATAATATATGTAGACGGTACCGCTTCAACCCAGTTGAACATTTAATCTTATGTCATATGACATACAGCAAAAAACACCGTGCCGAAGCCCTGCCGTGTCCGTGCCGTTACGGTGTGAGATGCGTTTCTCAAACAGTATACGTGAGGAAAACGTTATTTTTAATTAATTTTGTATGTCACGTTTCCACAAAAAATATTAAGCCTATGTCCAAGAATGAACGGCTACACGCTGGCTGACGATGACGATGAATTTCTTATGTCCAGGTCGCGTATGCGAGCGTTGACATTGAAGAAGCTGGAGCGTCACTTGATAGCGGAGGATCGTGTCGACCGCGTACCAAGCAGAGCCAGGATGAACATCATAGACTGGATGATGGTAGACCACGTGCTTGTCCATCAGGACCTCGACTTTATTGGACAGGTACACTTGCTTTTTTTATGCCAATGGGCGACAAACGGTACATCTAATGCTAAGCGATCAGAGGGCCTAAAACGTTTGTTTTACGTTTACCGAGATCGAAACTGGATTGCACGGTTGCCACGGTGGCTGGGCAACTGGTTGCCGTGCAACATGTCTCGGATTCGATTCCCGCACGGAACAACTCTTTGTGTGATCCACAGATTGTTGTTCCGGGTCTGGGTGTCATGTGTATATGATATTGTATGTTTGTAAACGCAACCACGACACAGGAAGAAAATCCTAGTGTGGAGCAACGTTTTCTAAAAAAAAAGAAATGTTATCGCGTTTGACGTACCGATTGGTTGGTTCATTAGAATAGGCCAATCACAGCGCTGAACGTCATGAACGTGTTGATCACGTTGAACGTAAAACAAACTTATGCTAAGCCCTCAGAGCTACCCATGGACACCCACAACACAGCAGGCCGTTCAAGTGCGTTGCTGGCCTTTAGGGCCAGGTTATTAAGGTTTATCTAAGCATTAAGCAAGCATTTGGCAATTAGAAGTGGGTGGGTTAATTTAAATCAGGGCTGTCCAAATTATATCTATACCCTCGGGGCTAATTAAATTTCTTACAAAAGCTGGAGGGCTTGAAAAATATTATCACGTTGTATAATGACGTTAAACATTGTATTCTTTTCTGAGTCGCGAAGAACCTAACGGGTTACCGGGGCTCCGGCTCGACGTGCAGGAGAAGGAACGGGGTGGTTTTTAGTCAGTAAGAGTCTGACACTCCCTCCCGCCTCACTCAGGCGGGAGCAGACATTCGACGATTTTCCCTCCTTAAAAAAAACATTGTATTCTTTACTCACAAACAAAACTTGTGTACAAATCATACACTGAATTTTATTTTTGTTGTTGCACATAAGATGATGTTGAGATTAAAATACATATGTGTCGCAAGCCACATGAAAATATGCCCGCATACGGCCCGCGGACCTTTGTTTGGACAGCCCTGATTTAACTAAACCCTTTTTTATCGACGTTGAATTTAACGATATATATTGTTCCAGGACTTAAATTTTCCTGAAAACTTCTCGGCTTTCGATGAGCTGTTCAACCTCGTTAATATGTTCGAGATTGAAGGGCTAAAGGGTGAGGCCCTGGCTGAGGCGTGGTCATCAGCTACTCTGCATTATAATACCAAGTAAGTTTAGCTATTCTATTCTTTGCTCTTTGTTGTTAATAATGTTAATGTTTAAAATGGAAATTATATTTAATATGATGATGAAATAAGTAAATTAATTAGGTTCTATTCTTTTAAACCGACTTCAAAAAAAAGGAGTAATGTATGTATGTTTGAGCACGATGACCTCGCGATTGGCTTACTGATTTTGATACGGTATTCAGAAAAGTGTTTGTTACACTTAAGAGAAGGTTTTAGTTTATAAATTTACCGACTTCAAAAAAAGGGGTAGAAGTCGGTTTTCTTAAACTTAGTTTATAAAAGAATTATGTCATGTAATGTGTTGCCGTACCCTAATCTGGTTTCATGTTGAAACTGCTCTCCCCAATTATGTAACATCTAATGTAAATGTGAATGAATGATATAAAAATTTCAATTTGAAGATTCTTGAGCCACCACTAAAGGTGGGTAAAGCACCCAGTATGGTTGATATCCGACTGGGGCTGCGGATTAAGAGCAATTCCTGGGCTCGGAGCAGGACTCCTCGACATATAAAATAATTGTAACTTTATAAACATAACGTTACGTCTTATGAGAATGGTAAGGATTTTTTTTAAGGGGGGAAAATCATCGAGTGACTGCTCCCGTCTAGGTGAGGCGGGAGGGAGTGTCAGACTCTTACTGACTAAAAACCACCCCGTTCCTTCTCCTGCACGTCGAGCCCCAGAGGGATAGGCAGTGGATGTATGCTCCAACTGTGGAATGGTGCCTTCAAGGTCCGAGTGAATACGTTGCTTATGGGACATACTCCATCGTAGGCTACATCATCGCCGACCACCAGTCGAGATAGTGGTCAAACGTTGGCCCATCTTATCTTATACTATACTATTGTAATATGTGATACAAATAAAACAACGTGATAGAAATAAAATTGATAGATTGTTTAAGCCAATGACGGACGTTTGGGGCGAGCTTATAACCGAATGGCAGTGTAGATGGGCATCTTCTATTAAGGGCCGCCACCTATATCAGTTCTTCCCATCCGTGCATGACCGGCTGGAGAGGACATGGTTGGAGGTGGATCACTGTGTTGCCCAATTTCTTACTGGCCACGGCAACTTTAAAAGCAAATTGTTCTCATTTAAAATTATTGATTCACCATGGTGCCAATGTTCGACATAGGAGTTGCGATACGAGCAGTCGGCCCATCACATACTCTGGGAGTGTGATCTCTGGCAATATGAACGTAACACTATGTTAAATAATTTAATTGTTTCGTCAGGTGTAGTTTATTATACGGACGAATTTCCGTGCGTTTAGGCGTTTTTGCTATACCTATTATTGGAAGCAAGTATAACAGCTCACACATAGGACCCACCTAGTTTTTAGTCAAATTTCCGTGGTGCTTGGCGACTGGGCTTCACCCAGTTGTACAGTCTCTTCTTTGTGCCTTTGGGCTTAATTCATTCTGTCTCCTGCAGTAATTCACCGAGGGAAGTGAAAACCATAGTTTTTTCTTCTTCTCCTCTTATAATATCTTCTGATTCACTTCGTTGCGGGAACCAAGACAGTTACTCATGTCCCTGGGACGCGCCGGACTTCAGTGTTCTGGTGTTTTCATGGTTGTATCTACTGTAGATCCTGGCTTACAGGAGTTGCAGCGGTTTTGGGAGGTTGTGGCGGGCTTGTCCCATTTATTATAATATGTATAACGTGGAAGAGTTTGTTTTTTTGTTTGAACGCGCTAATCTCCGTAACTACAAGTCTGATTTGAATAATTCTTTTTGTGTTAGATAGCACATTTATCGAGGATGGCTATAGGCTAAAACATCACGATACGACCAATAGGAGCTGAGCAGAGCGTGTGAAACTGCGCGGAAGTAGCTAGTTAAATATAAAAAAGAAACATTCCCAAGACGGGTGAAGTATTAATGTGCCCGAAATAAATGAATATTATTTATTTTATTTATTTATTAATGAGTTTTTGTAATTTGTACTTACCAACCAATAGGGGATTCTAAACATAACTGTAAGGGTGTAAGGGACATCTTATAGATACTATTGTGTGTAGATAAATCGTGTATAGAAACGCACCTCTGTCTACCCCTTTCAGAATTAGGAGGCATAAAGTTATGATAGTGTTTCAACATACAAACAAAATAATCCTTTGTAATTCCATTCTAGTGGCCACCAATGCTCCCCGTTGTTGCTGCAGAAGCGATGGTATCAGATGAAGGCTAACACGAGGAGTAAATTCTATAACTTCTGGTACGCCTACAAAGGGTGCATCAAGAGGTTGCATGTCGCTGATCCATACAAACCTACGCCGTTGGAACATGCCATTGCTAGGAGGTAAGGCTTTTTGAATTACTCGACTTTCAACTTTATTGTCTTTATTTATTTATTAACTCTAATGCACACAGAAATAAGGTACATAAGGCGGACTTAATCCCATATGGTGTTTTCTCCCAACCTTTGTGTTAAGTAGAGAATCAGCGAAAATAGGTTTGTGTAATATAATAGTAGACTGCACGGTTGGCGCGGTGGTCGGGCAACTGGCTTCCGCGCAACGTGTCGCGGGTTCGATTCCCACACGGAACAACACTTTGTGTGATCCACAAATTGTTGTTCCGAGTCTGGGTGTCATGTGTATGTGAACTTGTATGTTTGTAAACGCACCCACGACATAGGAGAAAATCCTAGTGTGGGGCAACGTTTTTAAAAAAAAAAGATAAAAAAGTAATTATAAATATTCTAAAGCATATTACAGCATAATACCTATATCATAATTATAAAGTACGTAGGAACATAAATAACTCCATGGGCATGGACGCTGCTTAAACTGTCAAACACCAAGTAGTCACCGGTGACCGCAACCTATTGTTCTATAATTGTGTCTATAATGACGGTACTCGACGAGTTAAAAAGCATTGGAATAAAAGTAATTGCAATTTAGTCTATAACACCTAAATTCCAATGTTGAAAATGTAATGTGATTAGTAGAATGTGCTTATACATAATAATATATTCAAGGTTTAAAAGGCAAGACTGCCTCGTTGGCAGAGTGGTCACAAATGCGACTGCCGGCCAAGGGGCCCCTAGTCGATTCCCGGGACGGGCAAAGTATTACTTACTGGATCTTTAAAAAAAATTTCAGTACTAGCACGGAGTCTGGAATATGGCAATAGGCTCACCCCCTATTACATGGGGCTCCTAACATAAATAGTGAAAAGTGGGTGTTACACTGTACAGTGGCATTAAGTGCCCTAATGTGAACCTGTGCCTATCCCTTCGGGGATAGAAGGCGTGAGCCTTTGATGTTATGTTACATTTGATTAATAAAATATTCTTTATTTAAGGTACAAAAGTTTGATAACAAGTCCACACCTTAGCTGGGAAGAGCTAATAGAGCAGAGATTAGTTACGTTACCTGACGAGTTTGTAAGTACTTTACTCATTTTTATTTATTTACTTACTAGCTTTTACCCGTGGCTTCGCTCGCGTCACAAAAGGATAAAAAGTACCCTATTATTTAATCCGGACTTCTAACTTTACGTCTGCAAAAATTCAAAGCATTCGGTTTAGTAGTTACTGCGTGAAAGCGGAACAAACAAACTCACTTTCCGATTTATAATATTAGTAAGGATTTATATTGTACAATGTTCATATAATAAGTTCAGTATCACATACAACTCGTTCAGTACATTACCCTGTTAGGGCGTCGCGGATAACTTAACGGGTTACCGGGACTCCGGCTCGACGTGCAGGAGAAGGAACGAGGTGGTTTTTAGTCAGTAAGAGTCTGACACTCCCTCCCGCCTCACCCAGGTGGGAGCAGTCATTCGATGATTTTCTCCCCTTAAAAAAACCCTGTTAGGGCGCAGCAATTTAACATATAACTAGATAATATAATATATTATAATCATACAATAAAATGTTATATGTATTTACTAACATAACGGCCACTATAAACTTATTTATTCTTAGATGTATATTCACTTTAATGCAGTATTATACAAAAGAGTTTCACAGTCACAATAAAACGTGACGAAATTTAAAGTTCTCCGAAATTTATTATTACTTCTTAGAGTTATAACTATGCCTATATATCACTATCACTACATAGTATAAAACAAAGTCGCTATCCGCCGTCTGTCTGTCCCTATGTATGCTTAGATCTTTAAAACTACGCAACGAATTGTGATGTGGTTTTTTTAATAGATAGAGTGATTCTTAAGGAAGGTTTATATGTATTATACATGCATATTGCACCCGTGCGAAGCCAGGGCGGGTCGCTAGTTAACTATAATTAGACATAATATATATTTTAGACATAACATCCCTCGTGGTAAAGATTATCTAGACACCACTGACAATCGGTGAAGGAAAACATCGTTAGGAAACCTGAACTTATAATATTTCTAATTTTAAGTTTGTAATGGCCAACCAGCATTGAGCAAGCGTGGCGATTAATACTCAAATCTTCTGCGTGTGAGAAGACGTTTTCACAAAAATAAAAACGTGCGATTGCACAACCAACTACACCAGCCAATCAGCTAGTTGGCTACCGCGCAACGTGTTGCGGATTCGATTCCCGCACGGCAACGGCAGCTCTTTGTGTTAACGTGTTTGTGGATCACCACAGATTGTTGTTCCGGGTCTAGGTGTCATGTGTATGTGGACTTGTATGTTTGTAAACGCACCCACGATACAGGAGAAAATTTTAGTGTTTAGACAATTAAAATATATATATATATATATTTCACATAGACACCAATGAATGGTGCCGTGCAAGAAACGCACCCGAAACATGATGGAGTACCATACCTATATTTGAAATATTCAGTCCGATGTAATTGACTCGGTTCCATATCTATACTCGGAATTTTAATTCGATTCCAGATTTGACAATTTTAGTGTTTAACGTTATGACAAGTACTAAATAGTGACGTTGCGAAATTAATCGATATGGAAATGGAATATTTCCGGATCGATTCTTTTCGTTTATAATTTTACCTTCGTAAACTAAGTATATCAGGAAATTTAATATTTCTGAATCGATAATTTAGTTTTGACGATTAATTAACGATCTGAGACTTTCCTTTTATAATTGTGTGTAAAATAAATAAAAAAATGTGATCATGAAGGAACATGACAAATAAAACAGATAGATGTATTGTGGTAATAATTTATTTACAAATCGTCGCCGTCTTTGCTATCGCTATCGCTGTCATTTTCTGTAACATTTATTATAAATGTGTCTGTGATATTGTCAACTAACAGATCTAGCCTATCTGATTGTTTATCGGTTTTTATGATCATCACTACACTATTAAATGTGGTATCATTATTTCACAAAATGACAGTAGCTAATGTCAATTCTGGAATCGAATTAAAATTCTGACTATAGTCTCAACTTTTAATTGATGTGTTAAAAATAAAAACTATTGATGTTATTTTTCAGGAAAGGAAAATGATGGAACGTGCAGGTTTTTCTATGCATTTGCGGAGGGCATCGTATGACGGTGAGTATGGACATTTGACTATTCACTAACTATGCAATGCAATATTTAACGCAATTATACATTTAATACACCGACTAGAATTACTTACTACAAGACATTGAAGAAAAAATAAAAACATATACCTAAGTACTAAAGGTACATTATACACTGAGTACAATTTAACATTGAAATCCCAATAATACCTGCTTCCTTGTATGAGTTACTTAAATCTGTTGAACGTAACCATGTTAAAAATAACCAAATTTCAAATTCACAGACGCATCAGATTTAGTGCTGGTAGAACCTAGAGTAGAAACAATAGACCTCAGACAGGAATCTGATGAGCCACGAGGTGAAAGTAAGAAGGAGGAAACCACCTTACCACCAATGGTAAGAGTTAAGCAAGAACCACCAGACCCTGACTTAGAGCCTGAACCTCAAGTGGAAGTACCAAAAAAGTCAATATACGAAGAAGTCCTAGAATCAACGCTGAAAGAGAATCAAGTAATAGATGCAATGCTTACTAGAGGATACTTCGATGTTTACACTGAGAAAAGCGATGAGATAGAAGCAGTTGATTTAGAAGAAAAACACGAAATGATGATGCCTCAAATAACTTGTGTTTTCAGTAATGTTAGTGAAGGTAATCTTGATATGTACAGTGGTACGGATAAGAATACTCTACCTACAGATGAAGATATTAATAAAGATACAGCTAAACTTGACGATACTGCAACAGTAACAACTGAAGGTGATGTTGAACCTGTTACAGTTGATAATAAAACTCCTACAGTTGATGTTGATGGTCAAGTTGAAACTGTCGAGGAAGAAAATGGTGTTATTCAACTTGATGATGCTGACAAAGACAGTAATGTTCATAAAGTTGACGATGTACCTGAAAAAGTTGATGATTTAACTGATAAACTTGATAAAGTTCATGATTTAACTGATCAAGTTGACGACTTAACTGAAAAAGTTCATAAAGTAACTGATATTGTTAAAATTTACAGTAAAACTGTGACAGTACAAGATGAAAACCATACAGATGAATTTGATGAAGATGATCTTACAAGTACTCCTATAAGTAACGACGAAACGAATGTACCAGAAGTAGTTGTAGAAGAAAATACTCAAAACAAGAATGATAAAGTCTTTGAAGACCAAACAACAGATGTAGTAGCTCCAATTAGAAGTGAAAATGAAACCATTAATAAGAACCCTTTGCTCAAAACAATTCTAGATCAGACTGAAAAGGAAATTGAGAATGACGTTGAAGTTATAGAAGACGTAGGAAGTATGAAGCCTGTTGTAATTACTGACTCCGAAGACGAACCTCACAGTGATCCTATAGAAAAACCGATGGACACTACACTTAATGACAGTCCTGAACATGCAATGGAAATAACTGAAGACACAACAGCTAAGGCTACAAAAGATGATGAAGCTATGAATGAAGAAGATAGTAAAGCTAATGTTAAAATTGATGCATTAAAATTCTCGTTTGGAGAGCTTCCTCAGGAATTTAGTTTCGTTGATGATGGCATTGAGTTGGCTGATGATGGAATCGCATTTGATGACTACGATGATCATATTGGTAAGTGATGTTTTTTTATGAGATCGCTTACCATAATGTTAAGCAATCGGCTATGCCCATGGACACCCGTAACACTAGAGTTACAAGTGCTTTGCCGGCCTTGTGCGAGTTCGTTATTAAACTGTCAAACACCAAGCGGTCACCGGTGACCGCAACCTATTGTTCTATAATTGTGTCTATAATGACGGTACTCGACGAGTTAAAGGAGAGTTCAATGTTAAACTTGACCATTAAATTTTATTTTGGAATAGCAATTAGGGCTGTTTAAAGTGAGTATTTAAAAAAAATGGATTTTGTTTCTGTGTAAAATCATGAAAATTTTATTACAGAAATCAAAACTGAGCCTGAAACGGAAGAGCCGAAAATAGATCCAAAGCTACTGATGGTCCCCGTCGTGTACGTCACAAGGTTAGAGGATTTAAATATATGTCGTAACGAACCTTTAGATCAGATCCGAAATAAAGATCTATTAGATGCTGTCATCATTAATAGTCTACCAATTAAACAAGAAAAGATCAGTAAACAAGAACCAGAAGACATAATCGAAGATACACCAATCACGCCAGCTGATGATAATGTCGAAAGTATGTCTACTGATGAAGATTCCAATGATAGCGTGATACCGGAAAATGTAAAAGTCAAACCAACCAGCTATTTGTTACAGAAGCCACGTAGTCGCAGCTACAACCCTATACAACTTTGTAAAAACCCAGATTTCAATACACGATTAAAAAGATTGACTGTAGGATTCTTCAAATCACATCGTAACCGAGCACTAATCAAACATTGTAAACCCTTAACAATCGACATGTCTAAAGCATTCGAAACGAAACTTATTAACGGCACTTTATACCTCAAACCCGAGTCCACAGACGATAAGCTTGCAATTGAATTAACCGATGATTCAGAAATTGTTCAAAACGCTACAGTAGTTCCCTCGGCTATGATCGCTCAAAGTCTTATAGACAATACGAAAACAACTGATATTCTACCCTTAATACGTGAAGCAGAAATGGCACCGAAACCTACAGAACATGAAAGAAATACAAGAATTAATTTGCCAGACATATCAGAGATTCGGCGAATTAACCAACGTCTTCTCACTGCAGAAATTACACCAATACAAGTACAAAATAAAACGTTCCAAGCACCCGTAACTCTTATCTCAAATGAGCCTGCTCAGAGTCCCGTTGTAATCAGTACTCCTACTGCAGACGTAACCATGGTACACTCAGCAGCGTCTGAAAATATTTCGGGTCACATAATTAACTCGCTACCTGAATCAAGCACTCGCGGGCAGGTTGGTTTCCTAAGAGGTCACGGACGCGGGTCCTATAATGGGAGAAAAATGACACAGTCAAAATTCAAGTCGAGACCTTTTAAATCTTATACGGCTATAAGTTGGTTATCAAAGTCTAACGATCCAGTTCTCATTAGCAAGGAACAAGAAACACTCTTAACTCTGGATACCGTAAACAAAATTTTAAATATATTAGGTGACAAAGATTTACCGAACGAAACACAGAAAAAACAGAAGGGTAGTGATAAAAATGAAAAGAAAATAGATAAAGGCAATCAGATGGCAAATAACGAAACACAAGCTGAAAATAATATTGATACGGGTGTCTGTAAGCTCCGAATTAATGTCAAATCTGCGGAGAATGGCCCGCGTACATTTAAACCAAGGAAGAAACGGGGACAAGAAACAGGAACCACAACGGATTCAACCAACGGACAGGCACAACCAAAAAAACGGCTGCACTGTTGCTGGAGTCGACAACGAATGTTACAGTTGCTTTTTTCTAAGAAACGCATACCGGATCACGACTGCCGCGAGGGTAATTGTATTTGCTGCTGTCGTCAGTTGTTGTGGTCTTATATAGCGCAAGAAAAGAGATTACAATCGGCGCAAAAGCTTGCTGAAAAAAACAATGCGATGTGTGAGAGAGATTCAGCGTGTGCCGAAGCGGCTAGTGCTTGTGAAAACCTTAATCAAGACGGTTCCCGGAACGCAGACAAAGTGGTAGGTCCAGCGGTAACTAAAGTTTCAGCTTCACAAATTAATCTACCACTTGTTCCAAAAGTTACAGTTGATAGTGGTGCTCAAACTGAGATTCGTCCTAATGTGAGCACTGTAGGCTTGGGAAGCGATGTAAAGGCAACGACAATCATGACAACTACACCAGTCGTACAAAATTTATCAGCACCAGGGTACCCGACGATAACAGTACCGTTAGTTGATACATTAGGTATTCCAATGATTGAAGCACAACCAGTGTCTACATCAGATTTGAACTTGACAAAATCTAAAAGTTTAAAAACATATACTAACTCAATTGATAAGAAACCCTATCTGCCAACACAAACAAAATCTGGTAAACCATTCAAGCCACCGAAATTTTTGAAAGAAAAGTTGATATTCCTAAACAGCAAGCATATTTCTGAAAAGCCTACAAAGAATCCAATATATTTAGGAAAGAATAAAGTATTGATGACCACAGTCAAATTTCCTTGGAATCTGAAATTATTCGAAGAAACTAAACAAGCTTTGGCATCCACATTGAAGTTGCCGGCCGGAATAAGCTTAGTATGTCTACCTGACGGAACAGTATCATATAGCATAGATAATGTTCAGGTCAAAGCAGTAGATTTGGCAATGATGCCGTTTATTATAGCAACAGTACAAATGCACATGAACAATGCCCTACTGCAACAGCAATCACAATCCGAACAAAATGACCAGCCGATAGCTAACTCAAATGAAGTAATTGATCTAGTTGACGATGAAGATGAAGACCATAAGAAAACGGAAAAGCAGCTTGACACAAATAATAGTACCGATACTAATGACACTGGAAATGTAATGAATTCGACTGTAACCACTTGTATACAGGATAACGCACAAGTAAGTCAGGATAAAATACTCGTATCAGAAGCACAATTGCTTCAAACTGATCTTAGCAGGACTGATGCATCACAATCGCAAGAAGTAACAATCGAAATGGAGTCGACTCAGTCTGATCCACCAAACTTGGCTTCAAATTCTCAACTACAGCCCACTTTAAATTCCACAGAGGATCAAAATGAACTTGTTCCTACAAATCAGTCTGAAAGTATAGAAGCTGTAAAAGAATTACCAACAGAGCCTGGACAACCTAAGGAAAATGAAGATAAAGCCGAGAAGGAATTATTGGTAGAGCAAAGTACAGAACAAGCGCAACCTGGCCATTCAAGTCAGTTGGAGAGTCTTACAGTTACACAGGAATTCCATTTACCAACAAATGCTGGACAACCAAATCAAACTGAAGTCCATGAAAGTGTACCAACTGAAGTACAAAGCCAGCCTGACGTACTAATACAAAAACCTCCAACAGAGAACACTGTACATCCTGAACAGAGCACACATCAACCGAAGAAAACTAAAAACATACTTTCGGACTTGATGGAAATGTCGGGTATATTTGATGACGATGTGGCACCAACTCCTCAAGAAACGTTGCCTATACCTGCTCAGCAAGAAACATTGCCTACACCTGCTCAACAAGAAACATTGCCTACATCTGCACCTCCACCTCTATCTATACTTTCGCAAATGGTTGGATCTGTAGCACAACCTGTCATCCAACCGACGGCAAAACTGCAGGGCACTATACTGGGTCCCATACCCAATAATTATCTTTCTTGCCAACCTCTTATAAAAACACCCCTTGGGGATCTCTCCCCAATTACGTCGCTCTATGAACTAAAGTACGCTTGTGCGAATAAAGGAATATTCTTTAAATTAGATTTTGATACAGGATATCTCGTTCCCATAAACGTTTGTCTAAAAGCACCTGTGAAACAACAAACTAAAGTTGTTGCTGAAAAGGCAGTAATCGATCTAACGAGCGAAGGAAAATCGAATCAACCCCAACCAAACCGCAAGAGAAACATATCGTTACTTTCACCCAGAAAAGGGTTACTTACACCTGCAATTGTTACATCGGAACCTACCGAGGCTACCGAGGCGGGAGCTAGTCTAGGTAAACCTTGTTCATTGGTGAAAGTCGGAATACCTTCCATATTACGTCGGTTAAATGCAGATAATAAATGTCAAGAAAATATTAACACATGGATTAAGGAGCGTGGTCACATGATTCACAAGCGGAAACGGAAACAGCTTTTGCAACATTACGACTTGAATGACACCGAATATAGTATTGTTCTACCTTCGTCTAAGAAGGCCACTAAGAGACACAAAAGTACCGACTCCCAGGAGCCGACTGCGTCAACGTCCCGTGTCGAGAAAGAGGATGTAACCACTATATACGATTCCTCAGATGACGAACCTTTATCTAAAGTAGCTAATTTGAAAAGACAAGAGGAGAATAAGCGAACAACACGAATTGTAATCGATTTGCCAACAATGGAACAGGAGGAACAGCTAGATGATGATATGGATATACATGAAAATATACCGGAATTGGACCAAAGTTATAGTTCTGATGATGATGAAGAAAATTGTATATTAGGAGTTTAAATTTTCTATTTCGACTGGATAAGATCTGACTGTAACACAATTTAAATTCTGAGGCTTTTTAGAACTTAGTAATTGATTGTGTCCCACATGATGTTACTATCACATGTTTCTTCAAATATTACTCATAACATGTTTTACTACAAACTTTTCATTGGTAACTTTAGCAGCGCCGTTGTAATAGGGAGCGAATCCATTGCCATCGTGAGTGTGTTTATATCTAAGTGAGGTCTAAGTTAAATAATTATTTTATAACTTTCGTGGCTTACCAGTAAGTACACGACATGGCTGTAGTTTTAATACCTCTAACATTACCTGGCTAATCTCAGTAGGTACATGTTTAAATGATAATTTAACAAAGAGTTGTAAATATCTTATTCATAGGACGTATTTTTAGATTTTATTTCTTAAGAAATAGTAGAACATATGATATAATATGCAAATATATAATGCCTGGCACGAATTATGGCATTATGGAATTTGTATTTTTGTTTTCTTATTATTGGTCACGTTAACTTTCAAAATTAAGTCCTTTTCCTATTCTAAAATTAACTTTCTTTCATATCTTCTTTTACATAGTTATAAGTAAAATCATTTAGTTATGTAGGTAACGAGAAATAATGACACAATGCGTCCCCCTTAATGAAAAATCTAGTCATGATTCGTGCCGGTGATTATATGTTAATACAGTATTGTATTGTATAGTAAAACTAAGTGTTTCAATTATAAGTAACATAATCCATTGCGATAGAATCCCGTGGATTATAACTGTGATATTATTTAAGGATTTTAAAATATTACGGGGATGTTTTTCAATCTAATAGATAAGATAGGTCTAGAATTTGTGGGATTCTCATTTTTTTTGTGTAATTGGTGTTGGGAATACTTGAGAACATTAGAAATTTAATTTAATTCAGCTACCATACTCTGTATTTTTAGCCCTTTAGCATTAGGAAATGGCTTGTTCCATAATCGTATTCTTTCATTCCATCACAATTAAGTTCATCACAAGTACCAGTATCACAATCCTGCACCTTAACTTGCACAAATAATCTTGTTTTTTTTTTCTTCTTTAAACATTGGCCCACTAGGATTTTCTTCTGTGTCGTGGATTCATGCAGAATAGATTCCGTGACGCGTTGCGCTGTAACAGGTAATGTAATCCAGCGACTGCGCCAACCGTCTTGTAAGGGCTCTAAGGGATGTTTCGTTTTTTAAATGGATACTTGCAAATTGTATGCATGCCAAATAATAGATACATCATTTATTATTATATCATTTGCAAATGTCAGTTTTTGTATGTAACGCAGTGGATTTTAATTGAAGATGACGGTTTATTAACGTCAATAACTGAAATTATCTACTAATTTCAAGCCACAGTGGGACTTTCATATGAGCAGTGTGCGCGGACGCGGCCGCGGCGACTGACGTCGCGCAGCCTACTACTGCCAAGTGCTTGCGCGTGCGTCTGTAGTTATTATACAGTGAATATTAGAATACTATAAATCCAAAATCCAATACACTGACATAATTGGGATGATGACGGGGTACGAAAATTAAAAAAAAAAACATAATTAGTCCATCAGTTAGGTAATATATTAGACACGTATTTTTTTTTAGTTTTATTTTGTCGTATAATGAAATAATACTTAGATAAAACGAATCAAAGTTTGGGAGTGGGGGCTTTTTTTTAAGATGGGAAAATCATCGAATGACTGCTACCGCCTGGGTGGGGCGGCAGGGAATATCAGACTCTTATTGACTAAAACGACCCCGTTCCTTCTCCTGCACGTCGAGCCGGAGCCCCGGTAACCCGTTAGGTTCTGGGGGCTAAAACGTCATTTCTACGTAAAATGTACATAGAAGTGACGTCACGTGACACTTCAAACCAATATATATCGTTGAAAGTATTCGTTTCTATAAGAAAATAAAAAATACGTGTCTAATGATTTAAAACAATTTACCAGACGGACATTAAAATAAAAATTAAGCATCTACCCTATTAGTATTCAGAAAAGAATGATCGGCTGAATGTACCTACCGACCAATAACGGCCAGACGTACATATGTCATTAAAAGCTTTTCATGACTATCATTTGTTATTATGGGGGCTTTTTTTTTTTTTTTTTTTTTTTATTTAAGGGGGGAAAATCATCGAATGACTGCTCCCGACTGGGTGAGGCGGAAGGGAGTGTCAGACTCTTACTGACTAAAAACCACCCCGTTCCTTCTCCTGCACGTCGAGCCGGAGCCCCGGTTACCCGTTAGGCTCTCCGCGACTCCGAATCGGCATTGGCCCTATTGGGCCCCATCTGTGGTGGTCTGATGGCTCTTTGAGGCGCGCGCGGAACGCGACGCGCCGTACGCTCGGGTCTGTTTCTGGTCGGACGGGGAGCCACCCATGTTCGCCGTCCGCAGGCCCGCGCTTACGGTGGCCGGAGATCGTCTCGCGATCCCCGACGCCCGGTGTGTCCTTCGCGATGGCTGGGTTGCGAGGAGGCAGCGCTTCGCTGCCTCACGCGTCCCGCCTCCTCCTTAGCTAGCATGACTGCTTCGCAAAAGGAGGAGACGGCATCCCAATCCCCCTCGCTCCGCATCATGATCATGGCCCGCACTAGGCCCGGACGCGAGAGGTCGCCATCGCCGATCACTTCCCTGAGGGCACGGCGGTGCTCAGCCCACGCAGGGCATTCTCCCACTGTGTGTTCCACCATGTCCTCAGGGCGGTCCTCGCAGTGATGACACCCGGGCGTTTCCGTTTATGGGGGCTAGTCTCAATTCATTGTGGGGGTAAATGTTATAGTTACTGAAATGATCTATTAAATAAAGGATAATGCGAACCACATGTATGGAATCTGGATCCGAATGATAGTCACGAAAAGAGCTTTCTAAAGACATAAGTACGTCTGGTCGTTATTGGTCGAGAGGTAAATTTCCCTTGCAAAGAAGTAGGGCAAATATGTTTGCCCGTCATTCTTTCTAGTCTCAGTGAGGCTCTACGTCATGAAACTAGTAGAGGTTTTCTCGATATTTTAATATATATAATTTAATATGTCTCAGTGGATATTACTTTTTTTACAGTCCCCATCTTATATCTACTCATTTCTTAATTTGCTTACCTATTATTTGAGAAAGGCGATATTTTCAGTCAATCTCATTTCTTTTTTTTTAATCTTGACATTTAAGAATTTTTATAAAATAGAGCAGTCATAACCCTGTATTTTGTTTCTTTGACTAATGAGATAGGCTGCCGACTACAGTAGGTACTACATTTCAAATACCTACCTTCTCTGTTCATCCTAGAATCATCAAGCATGTAGAAGGTAGATAATATTTTTTATTGATGGAGTTTCGGATTATAATGTATAAAATTATGTGTTAAAATACTTATAGAAAAAACATTATTTTCGTCGACAGAAATTATGTTTTCATGATGTAATATTACGACTATATCTTTTATCAGTTGTATTTTATTCTATTTAAGTAGTTTTTATATCTAAACGCATCGTGTTTTCTAATTGTAAGAAATGTGATGTTCAACCTCTTTTTTAATGTAAATTAAGTTCTTATATAAGTAGATTTAGGTATCGTGTCTATGATTGTTATGTAAAATCAGCAAATTATACTGTGTCTATATAAATATTGGTTGGACATCATTCGGACTTAAATCAGACTGGCAGGCCAGCTGGTTATTTGGAAACAAGTGTGACTTAGTGTTAATATTATTAAAGAATTTAAACACTACTAAGGTACCTATTTTATTTTTAAACATGTTAAAAACCTAGAGGCCCAATCAGCCTTCTCCCCAAATTCGACAACGCAGTTGTAAGTTCTCGGGTGCTGCTAGTGTCCATGAGCAGCGCTGAGGCCTTAGTACGAGTTTGATTTACGTTTAAAGTATTCGAAACGAGACCGCGTTCGGCACTCTGGTTGGCCGGCTCCTATGAACCAACCAATCAGAGCGTCGAACGCCTACTCGTTTCGATTACTTTAACCGTAAAACAAACTCGTACTTAGGCCTATTACCGTCAGCTAATCCGTCTGCTCGATTGCAATGGAATAGGGTTCTATAAAAAGATACGATGCGTATCTGGATAGATGATCAATTTCACAATGCTTACCCGAGTATAATATTGACGTTTGGAAAGAGAATTCCATCCTAATCTGTTCAAATAAATGTACTTGTTGACAGGTACTTGTACATAACTATTCCAATCTCTTATTGCACATCGGCTTTTAGTAGAGACAATTTTGTGTGATAAAATTACTTTGTCATTTATTACTAAAACTTTCCTAATCTTTTGATGATTCGCGGGGAGCCCTCTACATACGCTATTTGATCGATTGTCATTTTTCAAACGTCGATGTGTAATGTATATCGCCGATTACTGTATATAATGAGCGTGAGCTGCGCGACGTCGCCGCGACCGCGCACGCTGCTCATGAGGAAGAACCCCTCTGTGGTTCGAAACTAGTAGAGCTTTTCTCAGTATATTCACGTGAGTAACCCGCGTTTTTACTTAATTTAGTATGTCTCACGATAGTTATTATAAAAACAACGGGGTATGTTAGTTATAAAGCACAGTCAATTGTTAAAAAAAACATTACATCACGCCTTTTACCCCCGAAGGGGTACGCAGAGGTGCACATTATGCCACTGTACAATGTAACACCCACTTTTCACTATTTATGTTATGAGTCCCATGTAATAAGGGGTGAGCCTATTGCCATATACCGGGCACAATTCCAGACTCCGTGCTACAACTAAGAATATTTAAAAACCCAGTAATACTTTGCCCGACCCGGGAATCGAACCCGAGACCCCTTGCCCGGCAGTCGCACTTACGACCACTCGGCCAAAGAGGCAGTTTCAAAAAAAAAAGTCACATAAAATTCAACATACTATATTATAATTAGTAAATAACATTAATTTATCTAATAACTACTCCGTAAGCGTCAACCACGGCCTTCTCAATCTCCTTGTGAACCTGGTTGACTTCTGTTTGAGTGAGGGTCCGTTCCAAATGCCTGTATACAATACTGTAGCACAAACTGTGCTTCTTCGACTTCGGATGAACGAATTTGTCTTTGAGTTTTACCTGAAAAAAGAGATTTTTGATTAATTAACAATCTAAATTCGGAATTAGGTCCCAAATTCACAGATATATGTATTATCTAGTAGTTTGAATAGTTGTAAGCGCAACTTCTAAGGGGTTCGGATTGTTATTAGCACAACTAATGAGGATTTAGAAGAGAGCTCATAACATAACTAACATAGAATTATTATGTGTACCTCAGTGCCTCTGTTTATCCTTGAGGGATCAAGGAATAAAAGACATATATATACATAACATCACGCCTTTTATCCCCGAAGGGGTAGGCAGAGGTGCACATTATGCCACTGTACAATGTAACACCAACTTTTCACTATTGATGTTACGCGTCCCATGTAACAGGGGGTGAGCCTATTTCCATATACCGGGCACAATTCCAGAATCCGTGCTACTACTGAGAATTTTTTAAAAATCCAGTAAAACTTTGTCCTACCCGGGAATCGAACCCGAGACCCCTTGCCCCGCAGGCGCACTTGCGACCACTCGGCGAACGAGGCAGTCAGCCAAATAAAAGAAATGTATATAATAATCAAACCCTTAGAACCTTTAACATCAAAATAAAAATGGACAAACCTGTTCAATAATATCGCCACCAATATCTCTGACTAGATCATAAAAGTCATTGCTTATGAACGTGTCAATAGTGTATGTGGGAGGCAACCAGAAGGACATGTCATTCGTACATTGTGGATACGAAGATACAGGCTTATATGTAATACTAGCATTCAAGTCCACATTCTCAAACTGTGTCAAAAACCCAGAATCCGTACTCCACATTAATCTAATGTCTGGAATCTTGTACAATGCCATTGCTAATCTTTCCAGTCCAAGTCCGAAGGCATATGCTATAGTGTTTGATGGTCCTGCGTTAACTAAAATCTCATTTCTGACTATGCCACAGCCTAAGACCTCCATCCAATCATTTTCGTAGAATATTTCAAGCTCCCATGATGGATGGGTGAAAGGAAAGTATGCATCAACCCATCTGTACTTAATATCTTCACCAAATAGAGCCTGTGTTAGACCGATAAGGTGCGTTTTCAATTGTGTCTCCATTAATTTTGTAGCTTCTAGAGTATGGCAGCTTTGTTTCATTGGATCATTTATGTGGTTAGTATGTGGGTTTGTCTTATCAAATGTTGGCTCAAATATTTGTAATTCTGGTTTGTCTGGGAATAACTCTTCTTGACGTTGTGAACGCACTGCGTCTACCTGAAATAAAGAGAAGCGCTTTTTAAAACTAATAAGACTCATCTCATCACTCATCAACTATTAACTCAACTTGGTTTTATGACTGTAATGTTATACTATTTAATTGAAATAAATAAATAACAGATTTCATTTTATAACAGATATCTATTCTGGAAGTTAAACTGTCAAACACCGAGCAGTCACCGGTGACCACAACCTATTGTTCGTTAATTGTGTCTATAATGATGATTCTCAACGAGTTAAATAAAAAAGTGTCCCAATAAATATAAAAAACATTGAAATGTAATTATTAATTAATCATTAATCCTGTTATAGAGAGTATAATAAGTATGTTTTTTTGCCTGATTATCACAAGGTCAATTCGTGCACCCTACCTGATGGAACACAGGAAAATGTGTTGAATCAATTTCATCCCTCCGATACACATCTCCTATCATCAGGAAGTTGTCCAGTCCAGAGCGCAGCAGCTCACTTTGATGTGCAGTCATATGAGCCCTCAGGAGAGTGTCTCTGTTTATATAATAACAGTCGGACTTCGCCCTACTCGGATGATCAGCCGGAATCAACAAATCTTCAAAGTTTTGCTTTGTAGTCACTATTGGCGGTAAGTTGTCGTAAACGCTGAATGCTGGGTGACCTCTGTGAGTAAATGAAGAGTAAAAATAATTTACAATTCTCTGCCTGACTATCGATAGAGGGTTATTTTTCTGCAAGTGCAGGTTCTTGTCCAAGTACGATATTATTTTAGGCGTAACATTTGTATAATCGTCGGCCACGAATTCTTTCCCTTTTATTTGCACGGACGCTACAGATTTAGCTGCAGTGCTAAATTTATATTTTGATAAAACAGCTGAAATTATCCGGTTTGTTTTTATTAATATTCTCGTCATTATTGCCGTTTAATTCTTTCAGGAAATAACTGAAACTACTAAAATGAGACTTGCGATTACAATCGGTAATAGTGAATTATTTATTCCGCGTATTTATTCTTTTTCTGAAGAAAATTAAAATTATTTTCATTATTTTTTGTTCACGTTCCTCACTACGTTCCAGTACCACCATTTAAAAAACTACAACCTAAATAAAGCTAAAATTCGTGCAATCTCCCTTTTTTTCCACAAAGTTAAAAAAGGATAGGACATTTATAAGGTGAATAAAAAACTTAAATAACAACTATTACATAAATAAAATTAAAACTAAATATTACTAAATTAAATATATACAACTTATAAGAATAATAAGAATTTATAAGAATTTTTTTTCCATCGACATCAGTATTTGGGTTCGGAACGCAGCAAATGACAATAAGTGTGGCGTTTGTGAAGTTTGATTTGTAAAATATCGAAATATTAACGTTTTATGAATAAATAAATAGGAAACTGAAATTTAATTAGGACAATATTGAGTAAACAATATTTTTTAGCCAATTGTTCATACTATTTTATCAAGTAGTTAAAAATAAATTGAAATTGATTTAAAATGTATTGTAAAAAGAAAAATAATTCAGCTGTTTTCATAGTTCCTAACTTCTTATCATGGTATGATGGTATGTCAATGTTACTTTCTTCATAACCTAAAATATTTTGATCTGGTTGGTTTCTGATTACGTGCTTTGAAAAGCAAGAATTTAAATAATACTGACACAAATAAGTATTTAAAAAGTACTGAATCTCAATAATTAATGGTTGGCACCCTATACACAATATGTTTCGTAGCCGGCTTTTGCAAATCGCGCAGTTAAGCGCTGTTGGACTGACGGGATTTTACTTAGGACAAAATAAAGATCAATTTAGTATTTTCAACAACGATGATTCAATTATTATTGATGGGAAACGGTTAAGGAGTATGCCTGGGCTTCCTGTCTTCGGTACGGTGTCGGCTGCAACTCCATATACAGATTCTGGCACCAGTAAAGACCGGGTAAGATTTGTGACGATGTGTGAACTGTAGCGTTTAGCAGGCGGGCTTTTAAATGTTTCAATAAATTTCAAAATTAAATAGACCCAATATTATTTGTATTACGAGCGGATTCGGATTCGGGAAAATCGCTACCAGTACAAACATGTGAGGCAAATATTAGCCTAAAAGTATTTTAGTATGTGGTGTGTATTCTTATTTAAATTCACTTGACTCCAGAATAGTTCGCATGTTCAATGAAAGTCCAAAATAAAATAGGTAAAACTTTGTATTTATATTGTTCTAAGAAATACACAATTCATAACTAATTTAATATTACAAAATATTACTGGTTAACACCAAAGCTGGGAGACGACTGGCATGCTAACGGGATAGCAGGCACAGCTAACACATAAAAAATGTCAACACATCACCACAGTATAATACAACCTTTTCGTCTTAGCTAAAACACTAGTAAAATATTCCAGGTATCACAAATAATGAAGTTTGGCTTCCCTAGTCTGGACAACATCAGGTCGTATGATGACTTCATTTTGTCTTATGATCGTCGAAACCGAGTACCAAACTGGGTGTTTGAGCACATTACTGCAGAGCACATAGCTAAGAATGACCAGGTGGATAGAAGTAAATGTGAATTCCGACCTGATGAGAGTATACATCCATTCTTCAGGTAATAATCTTGCATGATATAAGTTTTAGGATATTAAACTGTCAAACACCATGCGGTCACTGGTGGCCGCAACCTATTGATCTTTAAACTGTCAAACACCAAGCGGTCACCGGTGACCGCAACCTATTGTTCTATAATTGTGTCTACAAAACCGGTACTCGACGAGTTAATTGTGTCTATAATGACGGTACTCAACGAGTTAAAATATAACTCATTTTGTTTAAACACAATTTCATGTTATGTAACACTCACTTTTCACCATTGTCAAGTGAGTATTGCTACTTCACAGGCACAATTCCAAACTCCATAGTATTGCTGAGATTTTTAAAAAAAATCTAAAACAAAGTAATGCTTTGTTCAAACTGAGACTTTCGTCTGATGTGACCAACAAAGTCATTATTAACACAAATGTCATTTGTACCTCTAAGTGATATGGAAACTATCGTTTTTTTCTTCTCTTATTAATATCTTCTGATTTTTTTTGTTGCGGGATCCTAGACAATTATAGTTTTAAAAAAAAATAATAAAAGGTAGTAGCCTGGCTGGCGAGTTGCAGGGGTTTCGGGAAGTTGTAGCAGGCTTGTCCCAATGAAAATAAAAGTACCGCATTTCATATTCTACATGCTATCATCAAACTTGCAATATGATATACAATAACATCTACCTAATGCTTATTTTCAGATCTCAGAACTCAGATTACAAAGGCTCCGGGTTTGACCGCGGTCACATGGCGGCCGCCGGCAACCACAGGCTCTCACAGAAACATGTCGACCAAACATTCTTCCTCACTAATATGGCACCACAGGTATAATACAAATCTAATAAACAGATATACAGTTCCATATTATATTAGTCTGTGTAAAATTAGTATAAAAATTTGTTGTTACATGAGAAAGATTAGATTTTAAACTCTATTGTAAAAGGATGAGGTTGAAAACCTATTAATGAATTTCACAACTAAAATTTGAAAATAAATTAATTATGATAAATGATAAAGTTCAAAATCTATTAACAATAATCTGTTAATTGATTTTGAACTTTATTAATGGGTTGGTAACTCACCGAAATCGATAAACATGTCTATGTAAATCCATTTCTATGGTCAGTGGCATAAATATTTCGATCCCTACATACAACAATACAGCATGCTCCTTCCTTTGTAGGTAGGAGAAGGCTTCAACAGGCATGCATGGAATACTTTGGAGAGACATGTGCGCAAACTGACCAGAGTCTACAGCAATGTGTATTGCTGCACGGGACCACTGTATCTGCCTAGGTAACTTTTTAATATTAATTCATAAGGCCGGCAATGCATTTGTAATTTCTCTAGCGTCATTCATCACACAACACT